AAAAAAAAAGTCATTTGACCAAAAAGGACCTTAAAGTTACTAACACATAGTTCTCAAGATATTGAATATATTGAATTATATTATTTTTTATCTTTTTTTCTCTCCGTTCTTTCTTTTTTTTCAACATCGTAATTACCTTCTTCCTTCAATTTATTAAAAACAAAATATGATAAACAATTTATAATAATAAAGATTGATGAAATTATAGATTGTTGTTGTATGTGCGCGTGTTGTTTGTAAATATACGAATAGGGAAATATAACGGCTAAAACGAACCTGGTATAGTACACAAATTGTGTTTTCTGCATAACAACATAGAAGTTTGTAGCATTTGAAAGGTTCTTGACTGTAACATACTTACCACGAGTGTTATTTAGCTACACAATGATGATATATCAAACACTTGTATTTGTCATTTAAACAGTTTTATCTGTAGTATGGTGAAGATGTTATGTAAATACATTGACACAAATTTAAAGTTAATTATAACTTTTCAGTTATGTAAATCAGACACTTGTCAAGATAGCTGTAAAATGACATGTCGAATATTCTCTGCTGGACTATTATAAAAAATTAGTGTTTTTCATAAACTGTCAGTTTTTCCAACCTCTGTTTTCTTCAATACTAAAGTATTATGGTGATGTAACGCAAATTTTGATTGGATATCGTTTACCGTCAATTCTACGGTTGACGGTCGGAGTTGCAATAACGTTGCACAAGCGCAGTCGACGTTTCCATGATATTTGAAATGGCTTTTACGTCGAAAGTTAATTACATTTACTGTATGTTTTGTTATGCGTGGTCGCTAAAAAAGAGCGAGTGGATATTTTATTTTAATTTGATTGCATATGAGCCTCTTGTTCATATGATTCCAAAAGCCTATAACTATCGAAACGATTTACTAGGAAAGAAATATTAGCTATTTAGTTAAAAAATATATTAATATTTAAACAGACAATGTGGGGCTTCGGGTATGGTATCGTCATATACATTGTTTTCGCCTCTCTCTTTTAGCCCTACCTGAAAGGGATTAGTCATGGCCCTGACTAGCTACGAGAGCCTCCCCCTCCCCCCCCCCCCCCAAAAAAAGTGTACAAACTAATAGAAAATTACAATGTTTTTGATTAACATGTTTTTTTCAATTCAAACTGCGTAGTTACAAATTGTTGTAATTATTTTCAAAACAAATGTAAATTCGGTAATTCTACAACATGAAATTGTTATTAAGTAGACACCGAACTAATTGAATAATGGTTTTACGACATAGATATACGGTGTCTAAGATTTGCGTTGCAGAACACCCGATGTTTTAACAGTTGTTTACAAAGGCAGTGCTCACTAGGTATCTATCTATGAAGCAAGTTAAAGTGCATTTGATTAACTAAGTATTATAGGATATAATTTGATATTATTCACAATAAAATGCATGTTTTAACAAACAGTTCCAAATCGTCTGATGTAAAATTACGTCATGTAATTTGTACTTCGTTAACCCACCCGTCAGATAGTTAAAGTTTTGAAATCTGGAATTATATCTTTGTCCCATAGACTCATGTGCTTGATAAGAAGGAGTGTATGTACTTGAACATACTTTTTGACAGCTCTATTCTATATGTAAATGTTCATATGAAGTGGATGTAAGCAATTATAGGCACCGTACGGTCTTCAACGATGAGAAAAACCCATCCCGTATAGTGTCGGCTATAAAAGGTCCCGACATGAAAAGTATGAAACAATTCTATTGAGAAAACTAAGGCCTAATTTATAACAAAACAATTAACGAATAACAAATATGACAGACATGAACCAACGACAGTCAACGTACTACACACTCTTCACTTGAAATAGACACATAGAGAAGGGGGCGGGATTAAACATGTTTGAAGGCGGCGCCAATCAGTATATGCTCCAGTTTATAGCTCCTTTTTTTTTGGTTGACCTGTTTAATGGATTGGTGATCAATTAAATTTCGTGGTCAAGTCCGTTTATCACGACGGGTGCCACCTGTGGAGCAGCATCTGCGTACCCTTCCGGAGCACCTGAGATCACCCCCAGTTTTTGGTGGGGTTCATGTTGCTCAGTCTTTAGTTTTCTATGTTATGTTTTGTGTACTATTGTTTGTCTTTTTCTTTTTTAGCCATGGCGTTGTCAATTTATTTTCGACTTATGAGTTTGAATGTCCCTTTGGTATCTTTCGCCCCTCTTTTATCAGTTATAAACCATAAGCAATAGGTCAACTATTATATTTTGTGTATGGAATTATTATAAGGTGTACACGTCCGTCTGACAGGGCTCATCTGACCTTCATCTACTTCTTTTTTTTCCATTGATCAACACAAGTTTTTGGAATATTATACGAAATATTTGGTATATTGAATGATTGTAAGGTGTACACTTCAACACGGAGCCTTGGCTCACTCCGAACAGCAAGCTATAACGGGTCCCAAAATGACTAGTGTAAGACAATTCAAACAGGAAAATCAACGGTCTAATCCATTTAGGTCCGTTTCTCATGCAGACAGTGACTTAAAGCAATAGGTTGTTTATATTTGTAGTATGGAATGATTGAAAGGTTTAAATGTCTGTCTTGTGTGTTCTGATGACCTGAGCCTCTTTTTCATGTACCAGGGATAATGTTAAATTTATATGAGATCAGGGATAATGTTTAATTTATATAAGACCAGGGATAATGTTAAATTTATATAAGATCAGGGATAACGTTAAATTTATATAAGATCAGGGATAATATTAAATTTATATGAGATCAGGGATAACGTTAAATTATATGAGATCAGGGATAATGTTAAATTTATATAAGACCATGGATAATGTTAAATTTATATAAGATCAGGGATAATGTTAAATTTAAATAAGATCAGGAATAATGTTAAATTTATATAAGATCAGGGATAATGTTAAATTTATATAAGATCAGGGATAATGTTAAATTTATATGAGATCAGGGTTAACGTTAAATTATATAAGATCAGGGATAATGTTAAATTTATATAAGATCAGGGATAATGTTAAATTTTATAAGATCAGGGATAATGTTAAATTTAATTAAGATCAGGGATAATGTTAAATTTATATAAGATCAGGGATAATGTCAAATTTATATAAGACCAGGGATAATGTTAAATTTATATAAGATCAGGGATAATGTTAAATTTATATAAGATCAGGGATAATCTTAAATTTATATAAGACCAGGGATCATGTTAAATTTATATAAGATCAGGGATTATGTTAAATCTATATAAGAGAAAATGTTAAATTTATATAAGACCAGGGATAATGTTAAATTTATATAAGATACTTGTAGTAAAACCTTTTACATCTTTTGAAAAAACTTGCAACATAAATTCAATAATGAACAGTAAAGCAGCGTACAATCAACCCCTCATAGATAATAATTTGAAAAAATTATGTAACCAGATACAATATGGCCAATGTTCTTGCTCTTTTTATTATACGACAAAATTTAGAAAAAAATGTAATTCCGGTTTTCTCAAAAAAGAAACAAGGTTATATTGACTTTCGTTTCCCGTCAAATTTTCATATACTTTTTGTCGAGCCTTCGACTTTTGTCGAAAAAGCGAGACATAGCGATCCTACATTCCGTCGTCGGCGGCGTCGTCGTCGTTGTTGTCGTCATCGGCGGCGTCCACAAATATTCACTCTGTGGTTAAAGTTTTTGAAATTTTAATAACTTTCTTAAACTATCCTGGATTTCTACCAAACTTGGACAGAGGCTTGTTTATGATGATAAGATAATATTCAAAAGTAAATTTTGTAAAAAAAAAAATCCATTTTTTCCGTATTTTACCTATAAATGGACTTAGTTTTTCTGCCAGTTAACATTACATTCACTCTGTGGTTAAAGTTTTTCAAATTTTAATAACTTTCTTAAACTATCCTGGATTTGTACCAAACATGGACAGAAGCTTGTTTATGATTAAAAGCTAGTATCTAGAAGGAAATTTTTAAAAATTTTGTTCCATTTTTTCCGTAATTTACTTATAAATGGACTTAGTTTTTCTGCCAGGAAACATTACATTCACTCTGTGGTTAAAGTTTTTGAAATTTTAATAACTTTCTTAAACTATCCTGGATTTCTACCAAACTTGGAAAGAAGCTTGTTTATGATCATAAGATAGTATCCAGAAGTAAATTTTGTAAAAAAAAAAATCCATTTTTTCCGTATTTTACCTATAAATGGACTTAGTTTTTCTGCCAGTTAACATTACATTCACTCTGTGGTTAAAGTTTTTCAAATTTTAATAACTTTCTTAAACTATCCTGGATTTGTACCAAACATGGACAGAAGCTTGTTTATGATTAAAAGCTAGTATCTAGAAGGAAATTTTTAAAAATTTTGTTCCATTTTTTCCGTATTTTACTTATAAATGGACTTAGTTTTTCTTCCAGTTAACATTACATACAGTCTGCAGTTTAAGTTTTTAAAACATTTATTAGATTCATAAACTATCCAGGATTTTTACCAATCTTGGACAGAAGCTACTTACAATCAAAAGATAGTATAGAGAGGAATATTTTATTCATATTTGTTGAGCCTGCGATTAACAGCAAAAGTAGGCGAGACACTGGGTTCCGCGGAACCCTTACGAATTTTTGTTTATATTTGTTTATAACAACCATCTTTGTGTTGCTATCACCTAAACGTTAATTTACATCATTGATATAGTAACCAGAAGGAATATTCATTTAACGGACTATAGTTATATCAGTGGTACCGCTGTCAAGAAATTTTATTTGTAGAAACACACATATTAGTAGCCGATTCGGTCTATGTAACAAAAAACAATACCAGACGCCAAATTTGCGGTACACATGACGTATATGTTATTTTTTTTCTAAATTCATTTCTTTGCTAGAGTTCTTGTAATCGAGGAACACGATGTATACGTACGACACAGACATAAGATGTAAGATCTAATCAGTCTTTATAACAGAACAGTTTTTTTTTATATTTTCAGGTACTATTTAGGGCATTAAGAGACTCTGACTGTAAAATTAAATGTTCAAATAAACAACGAAGACCCGTATGTGGGTCAGACGGTATAACATATGCATCTAAATGTGATCTCACGAAAGCCAAACGTTGCGAAAAACGTCAAGTCAGCATACAGAAAAAAGGAAAGTGTTCAGGTATGTATATTGTATTAACATTTGACTCATTCTATTTTTGAACAGCTGTGAATTTAATTATTTTCGTGGATATCAATTTTTGGTGGAAGGATTAAAAATTTATTTTCGTGGTTTTGCCAAAGTCTATAATATACAAGCATATAAAAAATTTGTATTTCAGTGAACATTTAAGTTAGTATATCTACTACACCCACGAAATCCCCGAAAATTTGTATTCTACGAATAAAAATGAATTCACAGTTGGAGGTATACTGTTTAAATCAGTTATATTTTAACATGTTATTTCCATTTTTTACGGTTCATTTAGGGGCAGAACCACCCATGTATGTGTGGGCGCGCCCTTCTGTGTCGCCAGCCAGCGAAGCTATGATCACCTCTGTTGCCTTGTGTTGTCATTCACGTCGCCGTTGTCCGCGTTACGCCTGAATATGCAACCATCATTACTGGGATTTTTAATTTGTTATGTCCAGATCTTCCTTATGATCTCCAAATAAGGATATTTTAGTTACATTTTCTACTTTAGTAAGACAAAAGATGATACTCCGATTGGAATTTTAAATATCAATTTTAATCATACGAATTGCATATTATGACTCGTGGTCTCTTTTCAAAAAATTTTTTTGGTATCAAGTAGTAAAAACTTTAAAATAAGTGTAACATATGAAATTTACTTAAAGCTAAACAGCAGTCCATGTAGCTGTAAATTCTTTAACATGATAATTGTGAAGTTTAAATATTTTGTCTCATGTATAGGTGATTTAAGAAAATAATAATTGATTAAAACAATCATTTGCCAAATATAAATGCGAGCTAAGTAATCAATAGATGTGACTTTTGTTTGTATCTTTTTGCATGAATTATTTCCTCTCGGATTTTCCCCCTTTTTGAAAAATATTATCACACACTTTTTTCAAAGGTTGACTGCATGGGTTATAGTAATATGGTGTGTTAGTGTATACCACTCATATCCTTTTATCTATATCATCTTAGACTTCTGCGGTCCGGGAGTAAAAATAGCTCTGACTTAGCGTTCGATTGAACGGGATGTACAAATACGCTGTCACTTCCAGGAAATTTTAGTGAAAAATTAAAAACCACTAAGGTGCATTTTAGCACAAGCTTTATAGCCCATTTCAGCGCAAGACTAATAAGTTCACCTGTATTTTCAATAGCCCATTTTTGCGATGACTTACCAGGTTGAATAGAAATCGCCATACTAAAACCGTTAACAGTTATTCTATTAATGGGGGCATAATGCTAATAATCATGGAAATAAATTTTGTTGAAACAAGCAGAGGAAACAAATGTGCAAAATGTGGCTAACGTCACCTATAGTCATTTACGTTTTGCGAAGACTATTAGATATATCGATAAATCTGCACCCTTATTTGGATAAGATAAAGATTAGGAAAAAGTTCCTATCACAATTTTACGAACAGTACACTGTACAGGGGATATATCAAAAAACCATTTCGTACGTTCACTTGGACATAAATTTAAAATTAAACATTTGAGTTTATTGCTGTATGTTTATGGATATGACATTTTGTATATTGTGATGTTTTGATGCTAGTAAATTTATTATTCTACTATAAAGAAAAACATCTGTCGCTAAGAAGGACCGGCATTGACAATTTCACTTTTCGCTGAAATGGGTTAAAAATCTGGCGCTTATATGGGCTATACTTTGGCGCTAAAAAGCCCGATTTATTTAAGCTAAAATGTCATGTCAACACGCTGAAGTTTCCTCCGCTGGTCCAGTCCTAGTAGTAGGGAAGCTAAATCTAGAGTTGCATGTACGGAGAGTGCCACGCTTAATTACAAGTCACATGACTCCTGTAACAACGCTTTGAAGGGTCAGAAGGTTGTCTGTTATGAGTCGAAATTTCTCTCCTTCTCTTTTTTACATAAACTGAATAAATGTCCTCATTTTTCCATCTCTCTCGTTCTCTTTACATAAACTGAAAACATATGTCCTTATTTTGTCTTCTTTATCGCCTTCTTTTTTACAAAAATGATACCTTGTCAAGAATTCAGTGCAGGTTCATATTATCTGCTAATGATATGCTGTGGTTATATTATCAGTTAATAATTTTGTTTAACTTTGATGAAAAAAAAACGTAATCAAAAGACACAAAGAGAACAAAATTTGATCTTTTGACAAGGTGCAAACATGCGCCATGTCATAGCCACTGTTTTTATATAAAAGAACAGTATACTATATATTGCAGTATGATACATATTTATCTTGTAATTCTTACATAATTAATTGTACTTAATTTACCCAAACATGACATGTAGATTTTATAAATGTTAACAAACACTTTACGATAAATATACCTATTTACACAGGTGAGCATTTCAAAACCCCCGCTAAGGAACAATAGTCCGCCAGATGTTAAATGCATTTTTATGCCGAGCGACAAAATTTCACACATCTTATATGGAAACGGTTTTAAGTCTCAAAATTCTGAATTTTAATATGTTACCAGACTGAGTATGGTTGTCAATAAATCATGCCTGCAGACTTTAAGGGTTTATTGAAAAAAACGAAAGAATACTTGCAAACAATTTTTTTTCGGTAGTTATAAATGTATCTGGTATAAATTCATCACACACCTGGTCGATGCATACAGTTCATACAAGACCACAGATTCTGAAAGGTAAAAAATAAAACAAGTTCATAAATCTTCATGACGTAAAATTACATTTGTAAAGATCTAACGTGTCTTGAACGTGATCTTATTCGACTTACTCAGATTTATCTTTACCTTTCTACAGATGTTCATTTCATAAATAATCACACTTAATTTTATCAAAATATTTTAATTGTTAGACCATGCATATTTGCATTTGATATTGTGCATGAAATGATGTTTATTTCCCATTGAAATGGATTGTCATGCGTAAGCGGCACAACAACGTTTATAAACAGCTAAAGGACATGCTGATTTCACACAGTGTGATTTTGGCAGAAATGTACATATAATAATTATTAATATAAACTTATGACTAAATTATTAGTTGTCTATTATATATGCACGTTTCGGAATATAAGACAGTAACATTGATTCATACTTGAAGAGGACAATCGGATGACACCGTATAATTGGATTAAGTTTAAATGTATTTCTTAGAAGTTATGGTACTTTTGTTTTGTCTATTAACAACAAACGCCAAAACAGACAAAGGAGACAAGCGTAAGTCAAACCTTTTTTTTCTAGAGCCTCAATATTTTTATTCGGTTTGCATAGAAGGTGTTTTATATTTTTTTTATATTTTCATAAAAAATACATGTACCAAATAATTTAACGATAGATTTTGTCAGTCGTGATTAGGTTGGATAATGAGCGTTCAGTGGGTAAACTTTAAGCGATATCCAGGGCTGGCTTAATTAACGAGTGTTTAATGGATACTGCAATAAAACCCCGTGGCTTAATACTGTTTGCTTCATTCTTTTAACAGATATCTTAGTATATATATTAATTGTTATTTGTTTAACGTCCAGCGACAAATAGAATATATTGAGTATACACATATGTAATAGTTGTCACTGGACTTAGAGAAATCAGTCATATACATTTATCATTTGTTGTTCCTTAAATGATGCACTGTAAGCAGAGGCGGATCCAGCCACTTTTAAAAAGGGGGGTCCAACCATATGTCCCCATTCAAAAGCATTGATCGTAAAAAAAAGGGGGGGGGGTTGGACCCCCCGGATTCGCCACTTTTAATATGACGTGTAGTATACGGTAATCATCTGAAAGGAAGGAAAGGAAATCATAAAAAGGATAATTTTTACATGAAACAATCTTTGATAGGTTTCGCTCAAGTTAAATTTTATGGGGTGTATTTTTCGCGAAAAAAAAAATTGGAGAGACTACAGACATTTGACCTAAAAAATATACTTGTAGAATGACCTCACCTTGTAAAATTAGCAAATTGACAGTGGAAAACATAAGAAGAAAATCTACACATAACTATATCGTCATACCATTCTATCATCATTCTGAAAGGCTTCTTCTGTGACGACAAAACATGTTACTTATATTTTTGTAAGCCAGACGCGCGTTAAGTCTACAAATGACCCATCAGTGACGCTCGAATCAAAGCAGTTACATGGCCAAATAAAGTACGAAGTTTTATCGTATCTTTCTTTCACCATGATAGCTTTCTGAACCTGATGTTCTTTGAAAACTTGTGATATATCTTACGTTTGTTGCAAAAAAAAAATGAAATTTGCACATTTGCATTAAATAAAAAAATGTTTGGTGTTTGGGGGCATATGGTCCCCCTCTTTATCTTAATTTGTTTCTTTTTTTTGTGTTAAAAAACTTTTTTTTACTAAATTTTCTTTTATATTTCAACATATTTTCCCTTCTTTTTCGTATACCCCAATCTCACGATAACAGTAATAAGAGTAGAGGGGCAGCACATATATATCAACGATAGTTATTGTAAGATAGATGTTTAAAGATGTTTTATCCATTTTGTTTTAAACTTATATCAATTTATTTTCCTTATCATTCTATCTAACACAAAAAATAGAAGGAAACAAATTAAGAAAAAAAGGGGGGAGCATATGCCCCCAAGTGCAATTTTTGAACACTGGATTATGAATTCTGCCCTACAACAGGTCCTCACACGCTGTTGGAGTATAATTGGCTTGCCTCTATGCATCTTACCAAGATAAAAAGATACGAAAATACGTCTCCACATAAATCAGTGTTAAAAGAATGACACCCAAGTGGTCATATGCATAATATATATCCAGCTATCATTCTCGTTCGTTTGAATTGATTGGATTGCTTTCTCAAAGTCAAAGGTCAAGTGAAAAAGACATTATGTTTCTGATTATAAACTAGTAAATAGGTTGCGTCGGTGGTCTGATTTCAAATAATTTTTAAAATAATTTTTCAAAATTGTTTTTAAAGAACATTGCATTTAAGGGTATACGGTATAATAGACCATTTGAACAAGGACAGATAATAACGAATCCAAGTTAATCGGTTTTTTTTTTTCATTAAGTTACTTGTAATGTACATCCAAAATGTTAAATTTTAGCTTTTTAACCTCAAACAGCGAATAATAAATCGAAATTTCGCAAAACATAAGTCGTGAAGGTATTCAAAATTTCAAGTAAAATTCAATGTACGATTTCTTCAGTATCGTCTGCCTTTAAGAATACACGTACATTTTTGTACATGTATCTGGAATATAATGGAAATGCAAAAAATTGGAATAAACTTTCTTTGTTGATACTGCAATGTAAACGAGTTTCGTCCTTAGAATCAATTATAATGCTCTTAAAAGGCCCAAACAATGTTATATCATCGAATTATTACTGGACGTTCGTATGTTTTATAAGCCTAGTATCTTTGGTGATATTTTTTATACCATACATTGTAACAGACAGTTAACGATACAACTCAACTACAGATTGGAACTTTGAAATAACAATATTTCATTCGGGAATAAAAAAACGATACAACTCAACTGCAGATTGGAACTTTGAAATAACAATATTTCATTCGGGAATAAAAAAACGATACAACTCAACTACAGATTGGAACTTTGAAATAACAATATTTCATTCGGGAATAAAAAAAGGGTCGGTATGGTAACCTTTATTTTCACGTTACTAATGTATGGCATACACCGTGTATTAGGCAGATAAGTTTTTGTAAATTGTATGTATACAAATTTTGACAAATTGAAGTAGTTTTTACCGTCTCAGTCTGCATTCCATCAAAACACCGTATTCAATGATTTAGGATTAAAAAATCGTATAAACTGATTTATACGATTTTAACAGCTAATGTTTTCTATTGACTCGAGTATGTTTGAATTAAATGGTCTATTTAACTCAGAAGATGTAAAGTAGTGTACCAATCCATGAAATTTTACAACTTTTATCGTGTAATTGTAATTAATTTTTAAACCATTAGCATCAATTTTGTCAGTTATATTATTTAGTAGGTGTTTTACAATGTTATTCGTGGTTTGTATAGGTTTTCAATATTTCTTATGTACACCCAGTTTACTACCTATTAAATGTTTATGCACTAGATGCAAATAAGTCTTCATATTTATATTTTATTATATATTTTCTTGTGAAATATTATTATTGAGAGGTTAAATATTTTATATAGAGGTTCATATTTTGACATTATATAAATTCGGTCATATGTGAGGGAGCTGATAAAGTTTACAGTATAGAGAAAGATTTGTAAAAAATAAAAATCATAGAAATATGGGCAAACAAATATAAAGAATAGAGATTAATGAGTTGAGAAAATGGCATACAAAATAAAGAATATAGAAATGAATATCCCCAATCAAACCCTCAGAGATATATATCTAACTTTGTCGTGTTTCAAATAGTTTTGTGTAAACATCTCTAAATTTTAATATTAAGATTCTGGGAAACAGTAAAGGCATCAGCGTGTCTACTTTTCCCGGATACGTTTTGCAATCAACTTGACTAGGACAATGACTTCAATTCTAGTGACGTTCGGGAAAAAAATGAAACCGCAACACAACAGCTTAAGTTCCTCAAAAGAGTCATGTAGATCTTCCCTTGTGGTTTTTGTCAATAATCACACCTATTTAAATTGCCACAGATCTATAGTAAGAAAAAGAAAACATTCCAAAGGGCAACTCTTTTAACTATCGGTCCCCGAGGGTATCATAAGCTCAGTAGTCAGTAATTCGGTACTATTTGGATTTATAACAAACCTTTCTAAAATTGTCCATTCATAAATTCTAAGATTATAAAGAAACAAAGGTTTCAACTCCCTCAGGCAAAGTTGACCTTCGAAGAATTTGGCTATTTGTTTAGGTACTTTTTGGTCATATATATCTGCAACTGTTTCGGTTTTTATACATCCTCGGCTTTCAAATATTCAGCTTTGAGCGTTCCTGATGAAGGTAAATCCAGAAAAGCGCTTCGGACGCATGCAATTAATAACGTGTTGATTTCATTTCTTAAACTGAAATGCTTTGTTAACGACATAACCATGATAACTGAATGTGAAATTGTTTTGTGTATCTTTCTTAAATTTCTACAAGTGGAAAAATACTTGGACAAAAAGTTCCCGAGATTGAATATCAGAGAAGTACTGTAGGTGAAAGGTATATAAATATTCAGTGTCTGTTTTTAGGCTTCATAGAAATCATTCTGCCACAAAGCTATGAATTGTTAAATTTGTGTAGATGGCATGTTTTGACCTTGTTGACACATGTCGTTCCCTAGTCATGTTTTTCAATGTAGAGAAGAGAAATGTTGACAAATGTTTAAGTTTTCGATTAGTTGCTTTGGTATAATTCAACAAAATCATTTGAAATATTAATATACCACATGTATCAAGAATTTCCACTAAACACAAGTATAGTTCGAATATCTCACATTTTTATTTGTAGTTTCATGTCATTGTCAGTTTCTCTTCGACTTATGCGTTTTGTACGTCGACTTGGTATCTTCTGCCATTTTTTTTTACAAAGTAAGCGTCTACGTGAAAAGAACAACGTAAGCTTCTACGTGAAAAGAAAAAAAGACACGTACGAGATGTCAACTCATTCACTTGAAGTATGCTTCAACGAAACCAATAGAAATGGAACACAAGGCTAAATTAGGTTGTGGTACATTAAACACGGGTTGAGTTCGGATTTGACGTATATCTCGTTTCCGTTTTACAAATAACGAGGTTTCATCACTAAACTAGACATATGTTGGGTGTGGTAAAATTCGTGTTTACATATTTACGACACATTCTTTTATTTGTCTGTTAAAATGGAACAATCATACATATTATAATACACAATTTAAGCCTGGTTAAGTCTGTTTTCATGAGAAGAAAATAATCGAAAAAAGATGAAACGAAATTTAGTTTATTAAACAGAAGATTAATGGATTTTAAACAAAAATGCACTAACAAGAAAGAAACATTAAAACAGTATGATTTTAAAAATTCTTTAAAGCATTTGGAAACTATTGATGTACGAGTACAAGGACAAACTCTCTTAAATAAGTACTCAGATAAAAAAAAAAGGATAATATATATAAATCTAAAAAAATGTATAAACAAAAACTATTTCACTGAAATAAATTGTCAATCTAGTACTTCATATATGACAAGCGATGAAAATTACTCTGAAATAAAGCAAATGATTATATTTAACAAGAAAGAGCCAGGTTTTTCTCATTGTTGAAGGCCTTATAGTTGAATATAATTGCTTACTTCCACTTCATTTGAACTTTGGTGGATAGCTATCTCTTTGGTGGATCATACCACATCTTCTTATTGTTATACAGATTGAATGTTTTGATCCTGGAGTACCTGAATTCATCAAATTGATGAAAATCGTATAAAAATTGACTATTTTTGCATAAATTATTTCTTTGTAAATAATTCATTTTGGCTAAAGAATCTGTTACTTTCAGGATCTAAAAGTTCTACAAAATGTCAGCAAGAAAGAACTGAAGCCCAAAAAATAGCCAGGCGGCCAACAGCTGGGATTTTTATACCAGAATGTAAGAAAGATGGGTCTTATGTTGACGTTCAGTGTCATGCAGCTACAAATTATTGTTGGTGTGTAACCAAAGAAGGAAAACCAATTTCTGGTACTTCATTACAGGGAAAAAAGCCTTCGTGTAAAGGTACTTCATTATAGGGGAACACATTAATGTAAAGGTACTTCATTACAGGGAAAAAAGCCTTCGTGTAAAGGTACTTCATTATAGGGGAACACCTTCGTGTGAAGGTACTTCATTATAGGGGAACACCTTAATGTAAAGGAACTTCATCATAGTTGAAATCCTTAATGCAAGGTACAGTGTAATTCATAACGGGGAAAATATCTTATAGTAAGGCTTCACATGGGGAATTAAATGCAAAGGAACTCTTCACTTAGAAAAGACCTTCATGCGAGGTGCTTTATTTAAGGAGAAAGCCATCATATTACATGTAAAGGTGCTTCATTCCAGAGAAAATCATTCATGTTAGGTAATTCATTACATGAATGAAAGCCTTATAAAATGTTCTTTATTACAGAGGAAGCATTCTTGTAAAGTACGTCATGTAACAGGGGGAAAGTCTTCATGTAAAGTACGTCATGTAACAGGGAGAAAGCCTTCATGTAAAGTACGTCATAGAACAGGGGGAAAGTCTTCATGTAAAGTACGTCATTTAATAGTGGGAAGTCTTCATGTAAAGCACGTCATGTACATTTGTAACAGTGGGAAAGTCTTCATGTAAAGTACGTCATGTAACAGGGGGAAAGTCTTCATGTAAAGTACGTCATGTAACAGGGGGAACGTCTTCATGTAAAGTACGTCATGTAACAGGGGGGAAGTCTTCATGTAAAGTACGTCATGTGCCAGGGGGAAAGTCTTCATGTAAGGTATTTCATTACAGGAGAAAGCCTTCATGTAAAATACGTCATGTAAAATGGGGAAAGTCTTCATGTAAAGTACGTTTTGTAACAGGGAGAAAGTCTTCATGTAAGGTACCTCATTACAGGAAGTCTTCAAGTAAGGTACTTCATTACAGGAGGAATGTCTTCATGTAAAGAACGTCATGTAACAGGGGGAAAGTCTTTATGTAAGGTACTTCATAACAGGAGGCATGTCTTCATGTAAAGTACGTCATGTAACAGGGGGAAAGTCTTCATGTAAAGTACGTCATGTACATTTGTAACATGGGGAAAGCCTTCATGTAAAGTACGTCATGTAACAAGGGGACAGTCTTCATGAAAAGTACGTCATGTAACAGGGGGAAAGTCTTCATGTAAGCTATTTCATTACAGGGGGAAGCCTTCATGTAAAATACTTCATGTAACAGGGGGAAAGTCCATGTAAAGTACGTCATGTAACAGGGAGAAAGTCTTCATGTGAGGTACTTCATTACAGGAAGTCCTCATGTAAGGTACTTCATTGCAGGAGAAATGTCTTCATGTAAAGAACGTCATGTAACAGGGGGAAAGTCTTCATATAAGGTACTTCTTTACAGAGGAGAACGCCTTCAAGTAAGGTACTTTATTACAAGCGGAACGCCTTCAAGTAATGTTCTTCATTACAGGTGTATGCCTTCGTGTAATGTACTTCATTACATGGGGACGCCTTCAAGTAAGTTACTTCGTTACAGGGGGAACGTCTTTAAGTAAGGAACTCATTACAGGGTGGAAGTCTTCATGTAAGGTATTTCATTACAGGGGAACGTCTTCAAGTAAGCAACTACATTACAGGGTGGAAGTCTTCATGTAAGGTACTTCATTACAAATGGAATGCCTTCATGTAACGCACTTCATTACAGGGGGACGCTTTCATGTAAGCTACTTTAGTACAGGTTGAACGCCTTCATGTAAGGTACTTCATTACAGGTGGAAGCCTTCATGTGAGGTACTTAATCACAGGGGAACGTTTTCGTGTAAGTTACTTCATTACAGGCGGAACGCCCTCAAGCAAGGTTCGTCATTACAGGAAGAATGCCTTCATGGAAGGTACTTCATTACAGGGGAACGCTTTCATGTAAGGTACTTCCTTATAGGTTGAACGTCTTCATGTAAGGTACTTCATTACAGGGAGAACGCTTTCATGCAAGGTATTTCATTATAGGGAGAACGTTTTTATGTAAGGTACCTCATTACAGGGAAAACGCCTTCATGGAAGGTACTTCATTATAGGGGAACGCTTTCATATAAGGTACTTCATTATAGGTTGAATATCTTCTTGCGAGGTACTTCATTACAGGGAGAACGCCTTTGTTTAAGGTACTTCATTACATGGGGGAACGCGTTTATGTAAGGAACTTCATTATAGGGAACGCCTTTGTGGAAGGTTCTTCATTATAGATGAAAACGCCTTCATAAAAGGGTATTTGATCATGAGGAAAAAGCCTTCATGTAAAAGTTTTTTATTCGTGTGGAAAATTCTTCATTCAGAAATACTGGTTATTTATTACAAGGGAAAGTCGATGTAAAGAGGTAAGGCCAATTTCCCCTGTATTTGTTTCACTCAACGGTCAATCTCAGAAGTATTGTATATAGTATACTTTAAAGCATTACCAACTACAAATCTAAATATCAGCGGTACTAATGGTGTTTAAGACATTGTTGCAAATTGTACATGTTTTGGCGAAATTTTGCATCGAAAGGCATCTTTAACCATAATGGATTAATACCCACTTGAAATACAACATACACATTTACTTTACACTGGACATTATTAAACAACAATCAACTAATTCAATCAGAATAACTTTCAATATAATTTTTGTTGCCATTTTTCATCAGACTTCTTATACTGATCAGGAACATTTGTTACCCTAAATACTAATTAATTTTTATATTTATTATTAAATATTCTTTTTGTTGTTTTTGTGGTGTTGGACACTTTTCAGACGTGTATTATATGTATTTGCATATACAATGGGCACGAATTGACCACATAAATAAAGAATAGAAAGAAAAAATCATTCAAATAAAGCAAAGAGAATAGTTTGAGTGCTTAAATCTAAACAATAGAGAATTCAAACATTAAGCAAATCAATATAGAATAGAGAAAAATTACTTAAAAATTAAAAGAATACAGATGGACCCTCCGCTCCAGCGACTCTTTTCACAAAAAATCTTACGATTAAAATTGATCGTACGTTATACTGAAATGTGTATGACTTACGAGTATTTTTACTCTTAAGATTTTTTGTGAAAAGAGCCGCAGACCCTTATAAATCCAAAATTATATCTTTTTGACTTGTTTTGTTTCTCTTAATTCTGAACAAAATTCAAACTGGTTTAACTTGACCAAGATGTAAATATATAATTGTAATAAAAACAAGAACAATCGTTGCATCTTTGATATTTTGTATAACAAAAACAAATTAAGAGAACACAATCATATGTTATGGAAAAAAACATAAAATTGAGAATGGAAATGGGGAATGTGTCAAAGAGACAACAACCCGACCATAGAACAGACAACAGCAGAAGGTCACCAACAGGTCTTCAATGCAGCGAGAAATTCCCGCACCCGGAGGCGTCCTTCAGCTGGCCCCTAAACAAATATATATACTAGTTCAGTGATAATGAACGCCATACTAACTCCAAATTGTACACAAGAAACTAAAATTAAAAATAATACAAGACTAACAAAGGCTAGAGGCTCCTGACTTGGGACAGGCGCAAAAATGCGGCGGGGTTAAACATGTTTATGAGATCTCAACCCTCCCCCTATACCTCTAGCCAATGTAGAAAAGTAAACGCATAACAATACGCACATTAAAAATATATACATTTATAGTTCTTTACTAATCCAATATAATTTAATTCTAATTTTAGGCAAATCTAGAACGAAGAAATCATTTAGAAATAAAGATAGATCAAGAAAAAAGAAAGGTGAGTATTCCAAAATTGATTCATATCCTAATGAGAAACTCGTACCCGTTGTTATAGGTTTCATATCTGTTGAATATCAAGTGTAGTTTTGCTATGTAAAGAGCCGTTATATCCAGTCACTACGATAAACCATCGAAAAAATTCATGACGAGCGAGGGCAAAAGATCGATTTTAAAATCCTGCAACAATATATTTCAATGTACGACTGCAAATTAGTCAAATATTGTCAGACATAGTACGAACTCTATTGCATGTGCTTCTTGTTGTACGAATAAAAGAGGACATTGTTCTTATGTGTTGCTGTACACCACTGTCCCAGGTTAGGGGGAGGGTTGAGCGCTTATAAACATGTTTAACCCCGCCACATTCTATATGTGTCTGTCCAAAGTCAGGAGCCTGTAGTTCAGTGGTTGTCGTTGGTTCATGTCTGTCAAACTTGCTTTTCGTATAGTGTTTTTTTCCTAAATTAGGCCGTTAGTTTTCACAATTGAATTGTTTCATATTTTCCATGTTGGGGCCTTTTATAGCCGACTATACGGTATGGGTTTTTCTCATTGTTGAAGGCCGTGCGATAGCCTATAATTGCTTACATCCATTTCATTTGAACTTGGGTAGATAGTTGTCTCATTGGCAATCATACCACATCTCCTTATTTTAATATGTTATGTTTGGTCCCACAAATTAAAGACGCTGAGTAGGATATCAGGTCGGTCTGTTCGAGTAAAACGGTTGCACGTGTAACCTCTAAGCTACATGTACATACATGTGTGCAAAGGGGGAAAGGTTCCTTTGATTTGAAATGTTTGAATTTGAATAAGCATAAAAAGTACAAAGTACTGCAGAAGTTTGTTTGAAATAAACTATATTTTATATAAAATTTTAGTACATATATTTTAGTTGTTCTTTATTAGGTTTTTTGAAACAGACATCACCAATTATATCTTTTAAATATAAGTCGACTATATGATATGTGTTAATTCTTCATATTTTTCATATGAACAAAACGTTTTATTTTGCAGCGTGCAGAAAATCAGATAGAGCTGAATTCAATAAAAATCTTATGCAAACTTTTATAAAAGAATATGAGCGAGCAAAAAGCTTGACAACAGGCAGCAGTGAGTATTTTGTATATACATATACCATCTCATTGGCAATCATACCACATCTCCTTATTTTTATATGTAAATGGTCTTAAATCTTAGCGGTAGTTTGTATTCCATACCTGGACAAGGTTTAACCTATTTGGGTTTGAACCTCATTAAATATATCCCCATTACCGAAATGAGTGGTTACTAGTCAACTGGAAGGGTCGAAAAGAAATTATCCTCTTGTTACTGGAAGAGACCTTTGAATGATTGCATGGGGGGAGTGAACGAAAATAAAGATACCAGAAACTGTAATAACACAGTAAAGAAAGTGAGGTTTTCCCGCAAGTCTGTATATTACAACGTGATTGGCTTTTTAATGAAATGTATCAGTTATATGTAGTTTGTTGGGGTTTTTAACATCCCACACAACACGTTGATGCTCTAAGTTGATTATATTAAACAGAAACTAGACACTTTAATTTATTGATTATGTGTATGCGGGAATGTTTCCGTCATTGTCAGAACAGAAACTACAGTAACTCCTATTTGTTCGCAGTTTTGTCTTGCATACAGGGCATTGTCGGTTTTGTTAACAAATATATGTAAAAAACACTGAAAACTGACACGTTTTTTGTTCTTGAAATGGCAGGAAGAATGAAGCATGCACAAAAAAGACCGAAAAATATAGAGGAATGGTTTATGTGATGTATGGCGTTATTAGAATATCTAAAAAGTGAAACAATATTAATTAGTAGTAATAGAATGGTTGGAAATTTTCCCTTTTTCTTGTACGGTCTCCGATCACTCTAGTTTTCACTATTTATAGCGCCAATCGTCATTAAACAATTTGAATGTACATGCCTGGGCGCTATAAACTTCACCAAAGAAGCTAGTATATATGTGTACCGACTATGACTGCGCAGGAAGAGTACGTGCGCTTCGAAGGCGATGTTTACGGCCGTTTTTCATTTCATTTTCAATAGCAAACAAACAAAAATGTAAATCAAATTCTTTCCCATGTCCATCAAATATGTATAGTGTTACGTAACCTAACAGATGTTTGTCTATAGGCACTTATAGTATCATTTATATACGAGGATAACAATTTAAGTTTATTTATTTGTTTTTACAATATGCATAAAGATATTTGTATGCGACAAATACGTTTATTATTCATAAATCAACGCTAAAGCATCGTTTTCCCTATAGGAAGAAGATACTTTGTAGGTAACTGTTTTGCAAAAGGGAAAAATAAAATCATCTAAATTTATGATTATACACGGTGTGTACATCATGTCAATTTTTTTTTACATATTTTAGTGATAATTTCCAAACAATTGCCATTGGTGAATCTGTTAATTGTTTTAATGGACAGAGTTTCAAAAGGAAAATTTTGTTCATTTTACAAAAAACACTTAAGCACACAAATGGACACAACATTTAGCATAGTACCAAATAAAAAACACGCTGTTTAAAATCAAGTTGAAAAACTGTATCACATGGGATGCAAAGTCCAGTTTTGGTAGATTTGAAATTAAAGATTTTAATTGAAGTTTAGATCAACTGTTGTATTAAAGAGTAGTATCATTCCAACTAGTAGAATTAATATGAAATACCAAATTCATAGATTGAATAAAGAGACAGCACTATGTAGAGCTTTTGCTGAAAATAGTAATAACAAAGTCAAATACGGTTTTTACTGATCATGGAACAGGAAAAGGGGGATCACTGTCCAGCTTGAACATGAACAAAATCAAAATTTACACAATGGAATAACTTCACTTCAGTTTTTTAAACGTCTGTGTTAAAATGATTCTGAATTTTTCAATGTTTCTAAAAATTGTTAGGAGAAAGAGACGACAAGACAAGCAAAATTTAATAATTTTACTTATAATTCGGCAACTTCATAAATATCAGGGTCGACACTAAACTCAAGTTCTCCGTAAGGGTAAGCAATTCCTGTTTAGAATGACACGTGTCTTGTCGCTCCCCGTCATGACATTTGAAAATCAAAATCCGGTCACAAGCCGATGGTAAAAAGAGGGAAAGGATTTTCAGAATCTCTGTAGCATATGCATTGTTATCTGCAAAACAGATTTTCCGCAACTGACATAAAAGTGATTTTAAGATTCGAATCGATTGGATTTTAAACAAGATTATCTTTTTCTTCATCTTTTCAGTGAAAAAAAAAAAATAAAAAATGAAATATTGCTAAAAATATGTTTTATCTTTTCTTAATCATTTTCAGTGAAAAAAAAATTAAAAATGAAATATTGCTAAAAAATGTTTTACCTTTTTTTCAGAAACAGAGGATTCTTTAAATAATTCAGATAATTCACGTGAGAAACGTGTTGCTGAGTGGAAGTTTTCAGAACTAGATAGAAATAAAGACAATAAATTAAGACGAAAAGAAGTTCGTTCTTTGAAAAAAATGGTCAAAAAAGTAATTAAGCCAAGGGCATGTGCAAAAACATTTATTTCATACTGTGATTATGATCAAAATAAACGGATAGAAAAGGGAGAATGGACGTCGTGTCTCGGTGTGGATTTAAACGGTAAGTACATATGCAAAATTCCACTTTTTTTTTTAATTAGACAACAAGTCCTACTTACATTATTATTAGTGCTGAAATCAACATTTGCCTCCTTTTGCTTCATACATTTGATTTATATTTTGTTCAAATAGTCACGAATTTCAACTATCGGACTAGACAAAACACAATTACCCGATGCGAACGCTGTCCTGCAGGTAATGTGATGATCAAGTCATTAGGAAAAGGTGTGCGTAACAAAGTACTATTTTAGAAATATTTTTTTATGCATGTTCTGTTGATTGTCAATTAATTTTCTTACTTTACTTATGATGAAGTTGCTTTAGATATATGCCTTAGAGCTAGTTTGATACGCTTTAGAGCTTGTCTAATACGCTTCGAAGCTTCACTTGGTGTGAATGCTTGTCTATTTTTGAAAAAAACACCAAGACCTCTTACTTGATGTCTTCTCTTTTTGTTTCACTGTATGCTTCTAAATTCTATTCCTTTAAATTTTGTGGACCCCTTTTTTTTTAGAGATGATGAAAATCCTAATTTCTAGTTGATTCATAAAAGTTGACTTTTGAGTAACAAAACGATAACCTTATGTATGATTCTATTAACTAGTGTATGGAATATCAAATGGCGCTTCATGTTTTGATGTCTGCACGGCAGTTTTATTTAACTTGTTTTGCAGTCAGAAAAGAGCAAAAATTCGATTTTTGTCCAAACGATTAGTAAAGAAAAATAATATTTCTTTGAAAAATTGATATCAGGATTTAAAAAGATATATCGAACAATTATCCTAAAACTAACTTATAGGTTTCTTTGCCAAAGTTCAATTATTTTGAAAAAGTTTAGCATGCATGCCTTATCTTCATACTGGTTTTTCCCGTTATTTAGGTAACAGGGGAAGAACAAGACAGGAAACCAGTAAGTTATATTTTCCTTATTGTTATAATGATCCCATTCTGTTTTACTTGATGTTAGTCATTACATTTATCAGACTACGAACGACTTCGGTTAGAACATGTTACTAAAATACAAAAATAGTCCGTTCTTTTCTATTATATATCGATTTTTTTTAAAAGACATCCATTTTCTTACAATTTGTAAAAACTTCTATTCTTTTAGAAATAACATAAAAGCATTGTTTGTTTTAAAATTCTAATTTTTAAAGGTCTAATTTATTTCTTTATTCAAAAATTTATTCAATTATTTAGAGAGAGTCATGCAAAATTTAGAGTTTTTTGTTACCTGCTCAAGGCTTGTATTGTATTATTTAAACAACATTTTAAATGAAGAGTTGTCATATAAAATTTTATAATTTTTAGACATTTTTTTATTTCAGTTTAACATTTTTCATGTATCTTGTGTAACATCTGATTTCATATCTGTTTCTTTAGTTGCTTTATACCTTACTTATTAAAATCCATCAGGGTCTTGGGGTCAACATAAAAGATTATTAAGGACCAAAAAATAAAAAAAAAAATAAATGGAGCGCTTAAATAAAAGGAATAGATAATAATAGGCTTTAACTATGAAAATGACTAAGATTATTTCTGTATAAATAGATTGTGTTCAATTTAATTGATTTAAAGTAACAAATTGATCTTCCTTCATAAAGTTAACTTTATTTGATTAAAATACTAGAAAATACTGTAAAAATATTTTTTGTACATGTTAAATATCTCGAAGTTACTAAGGAAATGTAATATATGTTATATCAGCTGTGGGACGTTTAGGATTTGTAAAGATAACCACATGATAAATACTCCTTTAAAAAATAAGGGATACCTATCTCCATCTTTTTAATTGCAAGGCTTTATCAAAGCTTTCAAGTCCGACACCCCTCACAAGAAATGAGGCGGAAGGGATAGACAGCGCATTTAAATATACCACGAAAGTTATTTTATACCTGATTGCAAATTATCATATCAAAACACTGTGTATCATTTTGATTAGACTAGAACTGAAGCAAGGGCTACCGGGCGGCTGTTACCCTTGTAGAGTGGCAGTCAATAGTTGTGGTATCACCAACGTGGTAGTAAGTGAACAATTAACTTCGTCAGGTGCACTCGAAACCAACAGTTTTCCACTTAAATTCGTCAGGTGCACTCGACACCAAAAGTTTTCTATGGGAGATAAATTATTAATAAGGTATTTCTATAAACTTAGTATCTAAAAGAAAGAAATTTTGCTTAATTTATACTCTCTATTTGACGTACTCTCTATACTCTTTTCCTATGCTAATTTTTACATCTTTTATATTTAGTTGCTGTAGATCCTAACTGACTAAATGTCACTGATATAATAAAATGTTTTCAAACTGTTGTTCCCATAGCCTTTTCCCGAAACTCAAATCTGGAACGAAATACAATTCTGAACGCTAATATTGAAGCAGATAAACTCTTTACAAGACTAGTACTGGTATGAGTCTTTTATTTCCATGGAATATTTAAAATAGATACATTTTTCAACTTCTGCTCGTGATTGAAATAGACTATAATTGCAAGTTTAACATGTATTAGTTCTTTATTTATTTCTCAATGTTACTGATCATGAACTTTGCCGGACACCAGCGCTACTTTTCAGCAAAAGAGATAACCTGTTTTGTTGAATAACTATTTTAAATCAGCTTCATTTTCCGGAATGGGGTTTTAGGGAAAGGCATTTGAATTTGCTACGACAATCTGTTATCAATAAAACATTACCAGGAATTCAAATATTATTCTAGAGGAGCTTTTGTATCCTGAAGTTACAATTACACAATTAACTGTTATAAGTCACAATATGTTGTTGTACATTTTTTGCTAAGTCTGAAGATCAGACGAAATTTGATATTAAGATATAGTCATATTTTTACCATATTGCAAAACACACATACAAGTATAGTTATTTAACGCAAACGTTAGTTTATCAGGAACAGCAGTTTGCCAGAGTTATTGTTCTTGCTTGGTTTGCTGTTGCACTTCTTTTGGCTTTTTTTCTGCTTTTAGTATTAACCCACTGCATTCCACAAAAAGTCTATTCATTTATTTAAATTCCTCTATGAACTCATTCCTTTTACAGAACAGAATAGTTTTCCTGTTCCTCCATTGCTTTAAATGTAAAATGATATTTAGATCTTAATTTCTCAAATTGCACATTTTAAGCATAGTGAACTTTATTTCTGGAGAAATGGAAGCTTGGTTGAGAGATATGGGACTGATGACAAAATGAAGAGAGAAAACGAGAGGAAGCTAGGAGTGTGTTTGTTTATTCATGTGTGTGTGCTTGTTTGTTCATTTGTGTGTGTGCTTGTTTGTTCCTTTGTGTGTATGCTTGTTTGTTTATTTGTGTGTGTGCTTGTTTATTCATTTGTGTGTGCGTTTGTTTATATGTGTGATGTATGCCCGTATGTTTGTATGAGAGAAAGATAGTTTGTGTGTGGATTGAAAGTGCTGAGAGAAACCAAATTTCCAAATCTCTTATCTTTTACTAACTCTTAACACACTAACAACGGCAGACCGGGCAAGTGCAATAGCCAAGAATCAAAATAGGACAGTTGTATATAAACCTATCTGATATAGTGTATTATATATTTAATTCCCTAAAATCAGAAGACAACGCAAGAACGAAGCCGAGAGATCCACCACAGATTGAAGGTACTTACTGTTTCACTTCAATTAAAATCAAGTTTTAGTTCAATCTGATAAAAATATAGATTCTATGTCCGAGCTTTGCATACAGGGATCTGAAAACACTCCGTTCTACTTTCTATTTTAAAGGCCTTTTGTGATCCTCTGGTTTTGTCGGATTAATACACACCTTCAAAAATTTGAAGGCTGAAATTTCATTCGCAGATGTAATAATTACCAGAACAGAAAGTAGATTGGAGTGTTTTCAGATCCTTGTAAGCAAAGCTTAGACCCATGATCCGTATTTTTATTAGATCGTTTCAGAGTTATCAGAGTTAATAGTTTAAAAAGAAAACAAACAGTTATACAAGTTGAAGTACTTAGGCTGAAAAAATATAATTATGTTTCCTGCCATCCTATCCTACCTAAATTATCATGCGTATCCTTCCATATTTTTTTTACATTGTTGGTTAATCTTTTCAAGTCCAGACAGTTTGGTTAAGCACCGTTTAAGCCCAGAATATTTTCCTAAATAACATGTAAATTATTAAAAAAAAATGATTTTATCAATCTACCTACATGTACCCTATATTTAACTGCCAGGAGGCCGGAAACAATTATATATTTTTTGGCCTTTCTTTTTTTATTTATTACAATCAATTTCTAAGCGTCAATAGTTTCAAAACATATTATTTATACATGTTGAATTTCAAAAGTAATTTTTTAACTACCTTATGATGCATGAGGGTATGGGTGGAGTTTACAAAATAGAGAATAATGAGCAAAACACGCAGAATAAATAGCTAAAAAAAAGAGCTGAGAAAAAAAGGTAAACATAATAAATAATAAAGAATTGAGAAAAAGGCTTACAAATTAAAGAAAACAGAACTAGAGGACCCCACCCAGACCCTCATGCATAATAACAAGAAATATTTTATTTTTTTGTTTATTTTTATGAGTGTAGCTTCTGAGGCAGCTTCCATGCTTTGTGCAGAGCTAATGTTTAGTCGCAGTTATCATTGAATAGCTTTATTTTGTAATATGATAGAACATTGTTATGTATACACACTTATATATATATTACACATTTATAATTATTGTTGAACTGAACGATGACTACTGTACACATTTGTTGTATAACCAAATAGACCATGGCAAGAAAATATGGTAGTAATGTCGTCCGTATTTATTTCACTCGCTGTATCAAATTAAAAGTAGTAAAAACATACAAAGACATGCATCTGAAATTCAGTATTTTAGAATATTCTGTAAAATATACTGAAAATATGTTGAAACATTTTCAAATATTTCCAAACTGTTATGATACATTGGATTGATGTAAAGACCAAAAGAGATTTTTAAAACAGACTTCAATTGAAATAATTTCATAGGAATTATTGTTCATACCTATTAGATAAAACAGTTTAATAAAATTGAGAATGGAAACGGGGAATGTGTCAAAGAGGCAACAACCCGACCAAAGAGCAGAAAACAGCCAAGGCCACCAATGGGTCTTCAACACAACGAGCAAATCCTGCACCCGGAGGCGGGTTTCAGCTGACCCCCAAACAATAATGTATACAGCTCAGCAATAATGGACGCCACGCTAAACCCCGAAACATATAAATGAACCAAAATAAAAAAAAACATACAAGATCAACAAGACTAACAAAGACCAGAGGTTTCTGACTTGGGACAGGCGCAAAAATACCGCTAATTCAAATTATATTCCAAAGTTCGAAGAAAATCTGATGTTTCACATGCAAAATAAATTTGGAAACGCGTAAAAAAGATAAAGTTCAACGCATTTTATATACTTCATTAACATTTAAAGTCAATGTAACAATGTGTTTTTACTATTACAATAATTCAAATTTCGGAAAGTGCTCGATGACAGAAAAACACACTGCGCTACGCGCATTTGTAACTTAATTTGTTATTCAGTCAGATTCGAATTTTTTATGTAAGTTAGTAGCAGAATCTACAGATCCCAAATTACAAACGTGTTACAACATAGCACAACACGTGGACTAAAGTACAGTCTCTAATAGACAAATAATGTAATTTGCTCGTATTTTAGAGCTAGGTGTTAATTCGTGTATACGTGTAAAGTTTTAATATTATAAGAGCACAACTTGGATGTTGGAGATATAATTGTGAAGTTATATATTCGTAAATATGAATACCATTCTTTAAAGTTAGGAAAAATGAGTGTGACTATTGGTCATTATAAAAAGGTGGTATTATTAAGGAGCATTAAAGTTTGACCATTTAATTAATATCAAATAAAAGACAAATACAATACTTTTAGTTTTATCATATTGTTTGAATATTTAATGTTCAAGAAAACAAACACAATCTTCATTTGAATCTTGACTGGTGAGAAAAAAAGCATACTTCTTATTTTCTTTAGAAAAAAAACTTGGTAGGCTAATCTGTAGTACTTTATGTTCGAAACGGAACCACTGGCATCGAATTTTATCAAAATGCGTTTAATATAGTACAAAATCGGGAGATGCAAAAAATTCACATATTGAATGTTTTGACTTGCATAAGAGAATTCAAACTTAATTACATTTTACCTGATTTTGATATATATTTCACTTATATTGATAGAATTTCCGACGGCAGTGACGAATTATTGAAAGCTATCTTTTTTTACTAATTACAGTGAAACCTGTCTAAACCGAATCTTGCATAAACCAAAAACTTGTCTAAATCAAGCATGCTCTAAAATCCAGTCATATCAAATGTTATGTGTTGTGAACCTGATTAAACCGAACATCTGCCAAAACCGAACTAAATATAAAGTCCCGTAGAGGTTCGGTTTAGACCGGTTTCACTGTAATAGTATTGTAATGAATCGACTTTGTTGAAGTGAATGTAATTTCTTTGTATCACAGAAAGCAAGACCTCCCTAATAGATTTGTCAAGGAAACCCTGGCCTCCAAAAGGGCTTATTCCCCATCAACCTAGTAACACCCCGCCACCAGACACGGATGATAGTAAGATATTTATACTTTACCTTAGCTAACCTATTCTTGCTTTGCTCTAATATATATATATATATACTGGAACTTCTCGTTTTTTCAGAGTTTTTGTTGACTAAAAGAATTTTATAATAATCTTTTTCACTTTTAGTAAAGGATTATTTTTTTCAAAAGATACAAATGCGTTTCTAAATACGATTTGTTCAAAACCAGAAGGTGCTGTTTTGCTATGCGAGTAAATTTTTAAAAAGACCACATGAAGGCCGTAGGGTGACCTATAGTTGTTTAAATCCACGTCATTTGGATTCTCTTGGATAGTTGTCACATAGACAAGCAAAAAAGTTCATATTTTCTTTACAAGAACGAATATGGTATCAGTTATGTTTACAAACTTGGAACTAGGTGGGTGAGGTCGACAACGTGTTATCTTTATCGTCTGCCATGAAATAAACTTAAATATATAGTTTTGTTACAAACTTTACTGCAATATTTTGCATTCAAGAGCTTTTGCTTGCAGTCTTTGCTATAGTAAAGTAATATTTTCATCTGTAACACAGTTGATTTATATTGTATATAATTTGATTTAGGAATATGGCATGAATATAAAGTAATAACTTAACGTTATTTTGATATATTACATAAGATAGAAAATACATAATTTATATGCATAACAACCCAAAATGATTTAGTTAAGTATTTTTATGGCAAATAAATCATGTATTTAATTCTTTTATATTTGATTTGGACAATGTGGGAAAATTTGAGTACAGTATAACCTGGTCACTCTCGGGTCCAGAGAAAATTGACCTTTTCAGAGAGTTAACCTTTAGATTGTGATTTAAACTTCAAAGGTATTATCATAGCGGTACAAGAAGTGGGTACCCTAACTTGAATATGTCTATTCATAAACATGTTTATCTGAATTGATCAAGACCTTATAGGGCATTTAAAAGTAAAACAAATCCACGTAGAAAATATTATTTTACGTAGATTTAGCCTATTTAGCTTTGCTTTTTGCATGTATGAATATTTCAAAAAAATTACATGATATATAATATTATGTAATCGTATGTTATAATGTAACATTATCGTATTAAATAGAAACAAAGAGTTGTATAGAAGAGAGGGAGGCTGCCCTGATACAAAACAGACAAGATCCTACTGGTGGAACATTTATCCCATCCTGTACAAACACTGGTCTTTGGTCACAGGCACAGTGTCACAACTCTTCGGGATATTGCTGGTGTGTTAAAGAATCAACAGGTGACCCGATCCGAGGGACGTCTGCCTTAAAGCAGTTGCCGAAATGTAATGAAATCAAGATAGAGCGAGAAATGAAAGGTATTTAATATAGTGTACCTAAATATTTTTTAATATTTACATATGGTCTCTCCGTGCACTCCGGCTTCCTTCATCATCAGTGCTGAAAGTGGTGTTAAACACCGTGAAATCAACCAATCAATCAATCAATCATAATAAACACTAAACATACTGGTTTACGTGACTACATGTATTATTAACTCAATTTATATTTCATGTTTTTTTTTTCAGTTGTATTTCTTTTTTTTTTTATTTTCTTGTGTATTGTCTATTGCAATTATGTGATATAAAAAATCAATGTACTGACTATGCCTATAATGGGTCCTCTATTGGAAATACAATTTATCTTATCTTATCTTATCTTATTGTCTTCTATACCGGAATAGGTTGTGGGTGAAGTGATGCAACACAGACTGATAAAGATTCACTATTCATAAGAAACAACCATTCACACATAACTACCGTTCACAATAATTGCAGTTTACAAGAAACTGCAATTCCCACATTACTGCAATTCACGTCAAACTGCAAATATAACAACAAACTGCCATTCACAACAAACTGCCATTCACAACAAGCTGCTATTCACAACAAACTACCATTCACAACAAGCTGCTATTCACAACAAGCTGCTATTCACAACAAACTGCCATTCACAACAAGCTGCTATTCACAATAAACTACCATTCAGTACAGGCTGCTTTTCACATACACATTCATTTGACGTATATTTTATAAGAAATAAATCATATTTTGGTTATTCTACAGGTTGTCCGTTTTCTAAAAAAAGAAGATTTATTGCCAATTTATTACAATACATCATAAAACAGATGAATGAAAGTAATCCTTTGTGAGTATATTTATTATATTGATAATGATCAGAATAATTAAAAAAAAATTATTGGATTGATATTTGCCAAAAATTGATGGATGGAACCAAAAGAAATCGTTTTCAGATTTGATTTTTTATTTTACAATTGGATGGTTTGTTTTTGTTTATTTTTCATTTGAATAGGAACATCATACAACTATTTCATTTTTATTTAATACATGGAATAAATAAGTATCACCTCATTGTCATTAAAATGAATTAAGATTTACGAATTAATTTCGTATCTATATATTTCAATCACTTCATATTCGAAAAAAAAATGAAATCCTTTCGAGCAGAATTTATATAAGAAAAAGACAAAAAAAAAATATTAAAAAGATCTTGTTTTTTGGTGTTCATGACAATAGAGTATATGATATAACTCGTAAATAATTTCATTTAGTTCTCAGGTCTAAAATTTGTGTGAATGTGTTATATGGCTGACTGACGTCTGAATTACCGTCAGTAACAATGTTTACAAAAACCTATAAAAGCATGCTTCATCATATTAAATAAATCTATATGTTATCATATTCACTATCTCGATAATCCCACAGGTGTTGAAAGTTTGCACAGGTGTGAACTGTAACCAAATAGTACTTGGCCCCAGTCAATATTGAACACTTCAAATTTTTAATTATTGGTCAATTTGTAAAGTTCGAAAGTTTAATTCTAAATGAGAAGTACTCTTGATCAACCGTCGTACAAATGGTGATACTGCAATTCCATTAAGGCAGTATGGGGTTTAAACAGAAAATGACAGATTTTTTTTTATTCTTTCCCAAATATAGTTTATATCGTGCTTTGTCTCAAATATGATAACAATTATAAGTCACCAAGCTTGTTATAAAGATACGTTTAACAGGTTGTAAAAAATCGACAAATGTTTTAAGAATCATACAAGGAAAACAGCTTTATTATATAGAAAGAAAACTCAATGACAGAATTATCAGATAAATTATGACAAGTTTGAATTAAGAAAATCAAAAGAGAAATAAGGTCACCGTTTACTTTTTTCTTGCTATGACATAAATATTTTTTAAGTACATTCCTGCGTAAAATTAAATTACATGAATTATCTCCCCTTATGATGATAAGTTTATTTTTTTGACTTTTTTTTTAAATTCTGTATTTGTGCAAACTGGGGTGAAAATAGGATAAAATCACATAGTTTTCTTCATTTAAATGAAAATTCTATCAATCGAATCACATTCTTGCCTTGAAATTTGTTAATTTCATTAAAAATATATGTAGGACTCTGAACCGCGATGGTACTCCGAACCGCGATGGTCACGCTGAAGTTCGATGGTTTGATGCTGAAGTGAGTTTTTGATCCGCTGAAGTGCAATGGTGGGATTGTTACGCTATCACGTTGATAGCTACGCCGAAGTCCGATGGAGGTAACGCTGAAGTGCGATGGATTACATAAATCATAGTTCACATGTAAATGTAGAAGTGAATTGTTTGTTGGAAATAGCTTTTCAGTTTTTTTAAGGTAAAACATCGGGAGTATAACCTGTTTAACTTAAAACAGTCATGATAAATAGTCAGTGCCTTTCCAGTCCTAACTGTAACGTTGTAGTGTACTTTGTAAATAGATTCAGACAAAAATACAATTATTTATTATAGTTCATACAATCTTTTAGATATTGACCACTATAAATGCTACATAAAAGTTTATTTTCCTTTAAAACCAGTACGTATTGCAATGACTGAAAAACGTAGTAGTTATTTGAAATGCAAATACTACTTGATTAGTAAGAATGGAACAAAATACGCGGAGAATTTATACGGCTGTTGTGAACGAAAACAAGGAACAAGATAGTTTTTACTGCAACAGGAGAAAATATTGAATGTTTGTATTTACTAGTTTATTCTTACTAATAAAAGAACAAAATCTTAAAATAATTGGAATAATTAAACATCTGCAGATTTTAACTATAGCCATCACGCGTCATAGAGACCATCGCACATCAGCGAATGGACCATCGCAATTTGGCGAAGACCATCGCACTTCAGCGTGACCATCGCACTTCAGCGTCCCCATCGCATCTCCGAGTCCTACATATATATTGATTGTTTTCTGCTATTTTTACAATCCAAGATTGGGGAAGATTCCCATACTACTTTAGATGTCAGTTTTCAAGTGGTTATGACAGATGTGGATGGTGTTGCATCAAACTATGCATGCTTAATTAATTTAGTACATATTGTAAATAGATATAAGGAAGATGTGGTATGAGTGCCAATGAGACAACTCTCCATCCAAGTCAAAATTTATAAAAGTAAACCATTATAGGTCAAAGTACGGTCTTCAACACGGAGCCTTGGTAAATACTCTGTTTTGTTTCAACACCATGCAGTTCTAACAAGATATAATTGTAAAACAAGATCATAGGTAATGAAAAAAATAATAAACCCCGAAGTTGATGTTACGTCATTCCTTTACACTATCGAAGACATAGATGTTTTAGAGGGGGATGGAAATACTAGGGAGGGGATTGGGCGAGATAATAGTTGTCAGTTAAGGTTTGCTTTTGTATATAAACCTACAACAGTTATTGTAACGGTATGAATGTACACATTAGCGTAAAATTTCAGCTGGTCTTAAAAGGTCAGTATTTAAAAATAAAGTTTTGAAAAACGACTACAAAAATTAAGTATTGCCATATGACATGACATATTTGTCCGTGTTTCCAACGACTGTGAGGTATTCATAAAATTGAGAATGGAAATGGGGAATATGTCAAAGAGACAACAACCCGACCAAAGAGCAGACAACAACCGAAGGCCACCAATGGGTCTTCAACGCAGCGAGAAATTCCCGCACCCGGAGGTAGTCCTCAGCCGGCCCCTAAATAAATTTGTGTACTAGTTCAGTAAAAATGGGCGTCACACTAAACTCCAAAACATATAAATGAACTAAAATTAAAAAAAAATCAAGACTAACAAAGGCCAGAGGCTCCTGTTTACTAGTCGCCAACAATAGCTTTAACTCAAACACTCTATTCTTTATTGTATTTATTATATGATCTGTACCTTCAATCTACTGAAAGACATTACGTTACCTTTGACTTTTATATTGAAATATTTGGAATATACAACAGACGCGACTGGTTAGTGATTTGAATGTAATCTTATAACAAGATCAAAACAGAGTTTCCCCTATTTAGTTATAACGAATTTGGTAAAATAATCTCTTTATCATTTATTTATAGCTCAATTTTCATGAAATGTTCACAATATTTAATAGAATGGTAATATCAACGAAAATCTACGGACAACAAAGTATTTACAAATTTCCTAATAGAAAGAATGGAAAGGTTAAAACAATGATAATTGGACATTGGGCATTGGACATCAACACCGTTATTGTTTTGTTGTTGGATATATTAATGGTTTCAATTTTTTAGTTTATGGTTACAATATCTGCTGTATAGAAAATTATAATCTATGAATCGGTTGGCTCGTATTTCCCCAATATACGTTTACATCATACATGAAACAGCAACTGTTTAATCATGTTTTGTTGCACATGATTGCAGGAACTAAAGTATCATAAAATATAGCATGGAGATCATTTGACAAAATGTTTATGTCGTAACTTGAATTCTGTAACAGGAAGTACACCAACGTGGCATATCAGTTGACGTCTGTGTTACATTGATATATCAGTTGTTTTCTTAAATATCAATTGCTTTCCTATATATCAATCATTTTCAAATATTTCAAAACTACATCCATCCATATATAATTATACCCCGCTATAAGTAGGAAGTAAAAAAATACACTGGTAAACCTCTTTCCATTCGTGCGCTCGTCTGTCTATTTCATTTGAGTCTTGTTATTTTACCAACTTACAAGTCATAGCTTCTTGATTTATTTCAACATTTTTTTTTTGGGTATGCCATACCGTGTGATACATATGTCTTTCCTTCGAAAAACTTTAAAATTGGTATTTGCTGCTTCTCTGCTAAGCACGCGGCATTAAGGAGTAAGACCAAAGACTGATCGGCTTGGAGTCAGAATAGTGTGTCCGGGTAAGGTGATATGTCTTCCTGTGGACTGTTACCTTGTAAACTAGCACTTTAAAAATCCGACTAAGCGTGAAGGTCTAATACAAAGGAGTGTTAATAGTCTTTTAACATTAACATGTTCTCGTCATGAATATGCATATTAATTTGCTGGTGGACGTTAAGCAGCTATCCATCATCATCATCATCATCATCATCGTCATCGTCATCGTCATCGTCATCGTCGTCGTCGTCAACATCTTTCCTTCGATCTTTAACTTTCGGTTTGCCGAAAACTTAAGCGGGTGTTTAATTAGTGAGCAACATCACTCAGTACATTTTATATCTTTAAAGTATAATCATTCATCTAATTTGATCAATGTATTCGACTATTAGGCAAGCGCGTGAATAGATTCACTTTTTTTGGCCATTGCCTTTTTGAATAAAAGAAGTGTGTATTTAATATCTTTGTAAAAAAAATGCATTACTATATGATTGACCACTAATGACAACGGTTCCTTTCCAGAAATGTACTGAAGGTAGGCGGTGTAAACACAACCCCTGACGGAGCTGTCGAATGGAAATTTAGGAAGTTAGATTCTAATTCAAACCTTGTAAGTATAAATAGTATACAAAGGAGAAGCGAAAGATACCAAAGGAATATTCAAACTCCTCAGCCGAAAACGAACTGACAATACAAAGACAAATATCCGTAAACACAAACACAACATAGAAAACTAAAGACTAAACAAAATGAACCCCACCAAAAACCGGTGGTGGTTCCAACTGTTGTGGAAGGTTTAGCAGATCCTGATCCCCATGTGGCACCCGTCATGTTCCTCATGTCTGTACAAATCCGATGATAAGTCAATTTCGGTAGGTCACATTCGATGAAAACAGCACGGGATTGTGGTAACGAGAGTTGGAACATGTCCGTCGCCATCTGTTAAAAAGATATTACATGACGGTCAACGATCTGGTGATGGCGTCCGTGAAATATTCGAAGGGATAATTTCAACTTCACCACTCAGAACTCTTGGTTTAATAGCTCCCTGTTGGCAGAAACTCTCTATGAAGGAAATCATGATAGAAAATGCAAGCTCTGGAATATCGTATAAACTAGGGATACATACTCCATATATATATATGCAGGCGCTGCTGGAATGTTGCTAGTTAGAAATGGAAAATTCACAAATGGGAAGCTGAAATTATCTCTTTGTCGTAAAGGTTAATTATTCTCAACCGTTTTTAGATGTAAGTCAAGATATGAGGCAGACTTAACTGCATCTATTGTATCCTTTATTTCGATGGGATAGATGCATTGAACATATTCACTTAATTTGAATTATTTAGTGAGAGGACATCACATTTATAGTGGAACATAAAGATAAAGGGTAATGATAGGATTGACTTAACTTTCATAAGTGCATTGTAAATCTAATTAAGTTCAAATCATTTATTTTAATATTATTGACTGTTTGAAAACCATGGAGACAATAGTCCTTTGGTCATTTTGTTGTTTCTAATTATCTTACATCCTACATTTTCTTATTATCTATGCATTTCTCATGACAAGTTAATCAATAGTAATATAGCGATTGGTTGAAGATCTGTCGGTTATTTGTAGGTTTTAGAACGCAAGGAGCTAAAGACACTCCGAAAACAAATCCCACAAACAAAAGATACCAGGAGATGTAGGAGAAACTTCATACGATATTGTGATGAAAATAAAGACAGAAAAGTATCTAAAAAAGAATGGATTGGTTGCATGGATACTTCAGGTAAGGTTATGAAATCAAGCTAAGGTCATCATCAGGGGAGACCATTGTGGATGGAATGTTCATTTTCGTCTGTTGAAGGTACGGCGTATTTATTTCTAACTATTTCCTGCATTTCCCTGCATATTGGTAGACATAATATTCAATTTCATCTTGTCTTTGACAAGGGATGACCAGGCAAGAATAATCTTTTTTTTTAAATACCACCACCAGACTATCAAATGGTTATCCCATTATTGTCGGTATGTACAGAATAAGTTTTGTATTATAATTATTGTATTCCGGTGGATTCCTCCTTAGGGGAGCACCCTTATTACGGATGCAGTTATTTATCTAGAAAGATTGATATTCGTCGAAGTCTCATCAAAGTCTGTTATAAAGTGCCTACTAGGTAGACCTTTCAGAAGAGAGTGCTCGGAGTAACATTTAAACAGACGGCTTATTGAACACCTACGTTAGAAAAATGTCCAGATTTCGGGTTGAAAGTATCGATGTCAAACAGTGTCTTGGAGAGCATGGTTAACATGTATTTATTAGTTTCAAAATACAAAGGATGTTCTACCCCAGGAATCTTTACAGATTAACTTAAGTTATTTGGCAAAACCTTTTGGAATTTTGGGTCCTCAATGCTCTTCAATTTCGTACTTTATTTGGCCTATTCTATAATTTTTATTCGTGCGTCACTGATGAGCCTTTTTGTAGACGGAACGCGCGTCTGCCATTCATACATTATAATCCTGGTGTCTACGATGAGTTAATTGATACTATATACATGATATTTTAACGAATAAAATTATATTTAAAGAAATTGATTGTTGTTTACGTTACGCCCAGTGGCAAATATCTCATGCATATTCAGGATAGGACCAAAGATAATTCTAAAATGTCAAAAGATGGGCTTTGTCAAGTCAAAAGAGGAGGATGCAGTTTTGGACTGCTCTTGGAAAAGAGGGTAACTATATTTGATATGGACCCCTCAAAGAGTTATTGATAGGAAGTCTTTAGGAGGCATTTTTGCCACATGAGGCATCTGATTTAGCGTTCCCATTCCAGCCGGACGTGTCTGCTTATTTATACATCCAACACAGCCAAATCGGGCGAATTCATCATGCAGAGAAACTGAAACCAATTTCTATACCTCTGGATATTATTTTGTTGAAGAGAGTTTTCAATAACATATAAGTTTGTATAGCTGATAACTAAAATCAAAAATATTTCTCATCCCACTATTACAGTTTATGTTAATTAATCGCAATGTGATAATGCTGAATTCTATGCTTTTTGTTTTGATGATAATCAAACTTGTTTATTTTTCGAAATTAACAGGAGGACAAAGCATCAAACTGAACCTATGTAAAATTAAACTAAAAAATCGAAATATAAACTCAAATAAAAGGATTGATCATGGATTGGGAAGTTCAAAAGCCACCATAGAAAATAATAAAAATGTAGAAACAAATAAAAAAATGTTCATGTCCATAAAAAGGCACAATTCAACAATGCAACTTCAGTACTTGTAAAGTATGTTGCGCCGTCTCAACACCTTTTTGTAATGACGTATGGAGGAACTGGAACGACCAACATAATGATGACTCAATGATGTTCTACGTCTGGACCAATCGAAACGGTCAAAACAATAACGTTGTACGTCTGAACTAATCGGAACAACCAAAACAATAACGTTTTACGTTTGGACCAATCGGAACTGTCGAAACAATAACGTTCATATCAACTTCGTAATGACGTATGAACCAATCGAATCGAAGAAAACAATGTTCAACGTCTGGACCAATCGGAACGGTCAAAACAATAACGTTAACAGCATTTCTGTCTTGGTCCGATGCATCTTTCTGTCGGATATATGTAGTTTGTTAAAGATTTCGGAAAGTCTTAAGAAGGCAAAATCTACATTTATGATCATACTATTAACGAATGAAATTATATTAATTGGTTATTTTTTCTATTACCAGGTAGTTCTGGTTTATTTACAGAAGATCCTAGACGAAGAGGTCCTAATCCTTTTAGCAATATTCTGAGACAAAGCTGACAATAAAGACTAGGAACTTTCATACATATCTGTGATATATAATATAAGATTCCAATGTGATGAACAAAAACAGCATACGGTGTTGGCAAGCAAACACTATTACTTCGCCTACAGATCCATTTGTTAAATATCATTATAAATTATAGCATTATTACGTCACTGTTTGGATTCATTTGAGAAATATGTAATCCTGTTGTTCATCACATTAACTATGTATTTGTTGTGAGATAATGGTAATCGTCTGATGAGAAATATTATGATATTTCCGACGGATAATTGCTGTCTGATATGCCAAGGCTGGTGGTGCCTTTAATGAAATGGGTAATTACATATTGAGTGATTGTCAGCTCCTGTTTCCTTCAAATCTCTTAAATTACGCAGAATCTCGCGGTGTTTTATACTCCTAAAACAATAATGTCTGTTAGAATTTTCATCAGAACTGACTTTGAAATTACAAACAGACAATCATTAAAATATAAACAATAATTAATGTAATTAGTTTAAGTATCAGAACTCGGATATTTTGATTATTATTTCATCACCAGACTAAAGCCTGGTTAAGATAAATAAATCTCTTCAAAATTGTTGTAGGAAAGGTGTGGTTATAAGTGCAGAATAGATATACGCTAAGTGATTGATAAAAATCCAAGACTGTTCACATTATTGTATCATACATCTTTGCAACTCCTCTTTTTATATTCATTTTTGTCCAGCAACACCATTTAAAGTGATTCTTTACGTAAGTTATGGTTCTTAGATATTGGATAAAATATTTACAAATCTTTTTAAATATTTTTCTAACACCTCCCCCCCCTTTTCCCCCTTGGTCCGTTCAATTAAACAAATTGTTAACAAAAACAGGCAACGTCTTCCCATTATAATGAAATAGAGTAAGATAAAATCTTAGAATCTTAACACGGAACAGTCAATTTTTATCTAAAATACTTAATATGGTTCACATTGTCTATTAAAAAGTTGTAACTTGTAAAAAAAAGCCGTTGTTTTAATTTCTTATTGAGAAAATAAACATTTTTAAGTTATAAAATATCCATCTGTATATTTTATATTAACATAAACATGTTGATTATATTTCACTGCAATCTTTGTACATATGTATAGTTGTTGTATGTCTGATAGATTGTAAATTATGGAATAATAAAATGCAAACTGATGCTCAGTTGTTTTCCTATATAAAAATGATAGGATAACGGATTCATTGCCAATGAGAAAACTCTCCGCCACAGACAAAATAACGAAGAAGGTAAGCAACTACATGTATAAGACACTGTACGGCATTCTTCAACAATGAGCAAAACCCATACCGTATAGCAAGCTATAAAATGCCCCGCAGTGACAACGTAAAACAATTCAAATGAGAAAACTAACCGCCTGATTTATGTACAAAACCGATAAACGAAAAACAAATATTATATATAGCAACAAACGACAACCACAGGCTCCTGACTTGGGACAGACACATACAGAATTAGGCGGGGGTTTGTGGACGCGCTAACCCTCCCTTAACATGGGAAAGTGTTGCAGCAGCACAACATAAGAACAAACTGTAAAATACTCACACTGCAGTTTTATTCATATAACATAAATCTTTTAAATTGAATGGACACCTTTGAACGGTTGATATGGAAGATGTATATGAAATCAATATAAAAAAAGAGATTTGGTATAATTGCCAATGAGACATCTATCCATTAAGTCCAAACGAAAAAGATGTGAATATACAGGTCATCGTAAGACCTTCAACAATGAGCAAAAACCCGGTACTTAGCGCAAAACATATAAGAAAAAGAAGAAGAAAAAAAAAACAAAGTACAGATCTAAGATTACACGCAGTTACTGAACGCTATTTCAAAGCTTAGTTTCAACAAATTAATACACAATATAAAATACGTAGATGTGGTATACTTGTCAATGGGACTCTATCCTCAAGAGTCTTAATGAATTGCAATATGTAACAGTTCGTCATTGAACAATGAGAAAACGTCATACTGTAATGTCAGCTATAAAACGTCACGACATGACAATATGTGAAACAATTCAAATTAAAAAAAACAACATATTACCTGATTTATGAGAAAACAAACTAAAAGCAAATATGACAGAAAGACAGATATGTTCTACACGACTAAAATGTCAATCAGTACACCTTCAATGGATTCAGTGTAAAGAAGTCATATTCAGTCTTAATAAAGCCTGACCTTGTGCAATGAAAAAATATCAGTATCAAAAAGATGAGACCTCAAGACTTGGTGTAAATACCTGGATAGCAGTACATATATCGCCGAACTTGCCAACCAATTCTTTTTTCTGAAAGATTTAGCAAAGTTTCCATGTCATTTGTTATTAATGCCCCGAACTTCTTAATTTATCAGCAATATAAATATAATATTAATTGGAATGTAAAATATCACTAAAGACAATCTATTTAAAAACCTATCTTGCATCGCTCGCGTTTCCCTATATGTCGTGTCCGAGGCGACATATCAGAAAACGGAAGCGATGCGAGATCGGTTTTTGATTAGATTGCACAAGAGATATTGACTGAGCGAACGAGTTGGGGTGATATACCTACTGGAAGAAAGGACCAATGGAATATCTAAGTAAAAAAGAAGAAAAAAAAAAAAACAACAGGGAACGAAAAATCGCCTCTTGTCAAATGTTTATAATAAATATTTTTTTCGTGTACGTCCAGAAATTTTGACTTGGTAACAGGTCTTTGAGCTGTCTTCTTTTGATTCATTCAAAACTTTCTTCTCTCTGAACATGACGTTGTCAGTTTAATTTCCACTTATGAGTTTGAATGTCCCTTTGGTATCTTTCGCCTCTCTTTTAAGCAGTTTAACAGCTTGACTTATGGTACAAACACTTAAAGATCATACATTGACCTATTGGTGTCTTTTCATCTTTTGTTGTTAAGTTAGTGTCTTATTGTCAAAATATTAACAGCAGCGTAGCGTATACTGGAAAACAGCAAGACTCGTGTCATATGATAAAGAAAAGACGATTTTCCTCTAAAATTTCATTGAGGTATGACCAATCAACAAAGCTCATGTACAGTTTTCAATAAAAATGAAAATAAGATGTTTGATTTTCAGTAAGCTTATGTTCAAGAGTTCCCGTATGCCAAAAATATCATGAGTATGGTTACTTTTTTTTCATGCAAAATTTTGGGGCGTGTAGCGTGGTTAAAAAAATTGCTACCTACGATTCTCATCAAATATTCATTCGATTTTCAAGTGTTAATTTACGCGTAAAAGTATTCCGTAAATTATCCGAAATTTACAGAAAGTTGTATGAAGAACAAGCTTTAATAACACTGACTATTTTGTTTTCGGAACCTAGTTACAGAGACATATTTCTCTGCTGGAACGAGTGTTTGTTCTAAATACACACATGCTCATTTCCATGCATCCGAAAAAACATACATATACGAAAATAGTCTTATTTCATGGCTTTTCCAGGACTGTAAATCATTTTATAATTTAGAATGAACAATTCCAAGTTGAAGTTTTCATTCCATAGTTTGTGGATGAAATTGAAATTAAAGATCTATTAAACATAGGATATATAGTAACTGTTCCTGCTAATGATCCGAACGAGGATTGTTTTTATTAAAAGCTTCCGGAAAGACACATATTTCAGGTGTCGATATTATAGTCCGAACAAAGGGGCGCTCATTTTTTAAAAGCCACTGTAATTATTCGCGAACTGATGTTTGAAAAATTAACAGTTGAATGCGAGTTGACTGTTACCACACGATAAATAGGCATAGACTTAGTTACTTTTGACGACGGAATCTTGGCCATGTCAGAAGAGACGCATTTTGCAATAATTGTCAGTCTTAGACAGTGACATATTTACTTAAAATAAGTTAAGATTATGAAGGGAAAAACGTTTTACATGTCAAAAATATATAATCAGTTCTAAAAACAGTGTCCATTTCTTAAATAAATAATATTTTTTTGTGTAATGAAGGAGACAATTCTAAGTAGTATATCTTCTGTCCGATCCTATTGTCATGTATTATTTCGATAATAACATATGTTTAAACTAAATAATAGTAAAAAATCAAAATGTTATCTGTGTAAAAAGTGCAAATTTTTGACGTTCGGTACAGAAGTCTGCAAAAATTAAATTTAAAAAAAAAAGACGTACCGTATCGTGAACGTCTAACAATATGTTCTCTTTCCAAAACACAAAAGGCATTAATACATTGCCCGTCTTTTATCATATGTTACAACATTATATTCATTTAAGTGTTCAACTCAACCGTGGCCCTATATATCCCGGCCCTGCTGAAGATTAAATTATCACACAGATTTTAATTCACAAAAAAGAACTTTACAACACAGTCCATAAATGAAGCAGCTGGATATTTCTAACTCAATAGTTTTTGTTGTCACTACATGTATATGTGTACACAGTTACATTGTAAAGCTTAAAAGTCGGGAGCACTTTTGTTCATTTTGATTTCCTATATTCCGGAACGTTCGAAACAATTTGGTCGTTGATTTACCGTAAAACGTGTATTTTGTTACAATGTGATCATATTGCGTTACTTGCTATTAAAGAAACAATTTTTGAGTTATTTCCCTTATAATGCACACATGCATTGTAGATTTCGAGTTTGTAATGGAAGGGATGTACTATTACGCATCTGGTGGAGTAAAATTGGTTGATATTTTGGAATTTCTTCTTTGAATGTGTAATTAGTTGTCATTATTGGCAAATAAACTCTAAAACTTCGAATTTATTCATGAAATTGAAGCCGTGAACACTATTGTGGCATAAAATTTCAACTCACATGACATTTTGCATTTTTTGTATCTGGTTGCTGTCTGTCAAACCGTCGTGCTATTGGACTCCTAAATCAACAAAGATTTCTGTTTAAAAAAAAAAAAAAAAAAAAAAACTGACGACCAAACCCATCGAAAAAATGAACATGTTTGTAGTTATTATTAGTGTTGTCAAATCGAACAGTTTTCCCTAACCGATTACTTGGATAATCTTTCGACCGATTTACCGGTTAATCGGTAGTTAAGTTGATGTTTAAAGGCTTTATCTATAGTACCCTACAAATGTACGTTTTTATGATACGATAAACCTTGGGCATTATAAGGCTTGGCTTTGAGCATTCCTGGTGAAGTTTTACTCTTAATAATCCAATACTACCATATTTGCTATTGACGTTTGTAATAACTTCAGATCGAGTAGATGCAAAATCTTTTGATCTCGTCGAATTGACGATGTCTGAAACCGTTTATTGTTTCATTTTCTCAAATATCTCAGAAAACAATATTGAGTGTTTCAATTTGAGATGATTAAGCGTATTACTCGTACCACACAGTATACATTAATTCCATGCATTAACGTTAATTTGCATTTCATTATTTTTGAGTCGGCATTTCGTTTAAAGTGAGACAAAGCCTTTGACGATGGAGGTGGCATATTTATATGTAGGTCTACGCAATATTAAATAAAAAATGAAATAATGAATTAAATCGTAAAAAAATGGCTAACAACTGTTCAAAACGCATGTACAGCGTTTTGCATTTGCGTCAATCTGCACTTCATTTGCGCCAATTCATTTTTTCATTTGCGCCAATACTTTTATTTCATTTGCGCCAATTTACAGGTAAACACGTCAAGTCATTAGACATATAAGTTGTACAGAATTTATATAATCACAAAAATCCGTACCCCTTCCGTCTGCCATCTGCCACTGTTCACCACGTGGAAGTGGGGTTTCGAGTAGGATAAGTTCTAAAACTATATAAATCACACGTAAAATAGCACTTTTTAAAAAATAAAATAGTAACAGTTTGACGTCAAATGCACATTTATATATTTACAAGTCTGAGTATTTGTATGCAACACTTGGAATGAACTGCGACCTTGTAATATCTTCTCAACAATACATCCGAACTTTTCACTAATACAAATCATTTCTTCCTTTTCGTGTTTTCTTGCGGCTGCTGACATGTCCAGATATCTGATTTTTACAGAAGTTGTTGCCTGGATTTTCTTTATAACATCCATAAAAATGTAAATATTCGGGTGGTGTGAGAAAAACTGTTCATTGTAGTATGAGTGAAACGATTCAGGGCCGTTGTTCGTCCTTTTACAGTCTAAAATATATCAAATCTACCCTGTT